ATATATATATATCTCAGTGTGAAGGCCCTGTGTTCAGCCCTCAGACTGAAGAAAAAAACCACAAGTATCTCAGGAGCCTCTTGTCCACCTTTCTGTCATGGGCTCTTTCCTGGTCATAGCCTGTTGTTTTCCCTCTAGCTGCAAACACTACCCTAAATTTTATAGTAATCAATCTCTTGCTTTCCTTTAACTTTCTTTTTTCTCTTTTGGTACTGGTGATTGAACTCAGGACTTTGCTCTTGCCAGGCAGGCACCAGAACCACTGAGCTAAATCCCTGGCCCTTTCCTGTAACTGTCTAGTTCTCTGTCACTCAGTGATATAAATGTAACTGTACACTATGTTTTCTGTTGTTCCTGGTTTCCTTGGCTCATTGAAAAGTTTGTGAGATTCTACCTTGATGTGCTTTTCTGGAACGGACTCATTTTTATTGCTATATAGTATTCCACTGTAGGAGTAGACAACAGTTAGTTCATGCATTGAATTTCCAGTTTGGGGCTGTTATGAATAATGCTGGTAGCAATTTTTTTCTTCTGGCAACATTCTTGTGCATGTTTTTTGGTAAACATTCTGATGCATACCTTTCTCTTGGAATGTACCTAGAAGTAGAAGTGCTGGGTATGGGTGTGAATATGCTTAGGTTTAGTAGATACTGCCAACATTGTTTCCTGTAATACCAAATTACCATAAATGTGGTAGCTTGAACAGAAATTCATTATCTAAAGGTTTTGAAGGCCATAAATCTGAAATCAGATTTCCTGAGCTAAAATCAAGACATCAGCAGAACCATACTCTTCTGAAGTTTAATTTTTTTTATTTTTTATTTTTATTTTTTGTTTTTTTGAGACAGGGTCTCACTATGTGGTTGAGACTGACCTGGAACTCACTATGTAGCCCAGGCTGGTCTTGAACTCACAGCGATCCTCCTGCTTCAGCCTCGCAAGTGCTGGGATTACAGGCTTGCGCCACCACGCCCGGTCTCTTCTGAAGTTTTAGGGAGAACCCATTCTTTGGTTCTTCCAGCTTCTGGTGGGCGCCAGCATTCCTTGGCTTATGGCTGTGTCATTGCAATCTCTGCATATAGCCTTCTCTGCACACAAGCCTTCGCTTTTTCTGTCTGTATCAAATTTCTTTCTACCTCTCTTCTAAGGACATGCATGGTTGCATTTAAATAATGCACCCAAATAATCTAGAACAATTTCCTCACCTCAAAATCCTCATTTTATGCAGGGCATGATGGTGCATACCTATAAACCCAGTACTTGGGAGGCTAAGGCAGGCGGATCACCTCAAGTTCATGTCCAGATTGGGCACCATAGCAATTTCAAGCCTAGCCTGAATTACATAGGGAGATCCTGTCTCAAAAAACGAAACAAAACAACAGGGTTGGGGATTTAGCTCACTAGTTCCTCTGCCTGCCTCACAAGCACAAGTTCAATCCCTGGCACCAAACAAAACAAAATCCTCACTTCAATAACACCTGCAGAAAGACTTTGTGTGTGTGTGTGTGTGTGTGTGTGTGTGTGTGTGTGTGTGTACATGCACTGCTGGGTGTGGTGGTACATACCTATAATGCCAGCTACCCAGCAATTCTGGAGGCTGAGGCAGTAGGATCAAAAGTTGCCTCAGGGCTGGAGATTTAGCTCAGCCTATTTTGCAAGCACAAGGTCCTGAGTTTCATACCCAGTATCAAAAAACAAAACAAAACAAAAAAACCAAAAATGTGCCTGGTCAGCTTAGTGAGATCCTGTGTCTAAATAAGATATCAAGGCTGAAGATAAAACCCAATGGTAGAGCACTTGCCTAGCATGCACAAGACCCTTGGTTCAATTCCTAATACTAAAAAGCAAGAAAAAAAAAGTAACATTAGTTTGGACATCTTTTAGAGGACTTTTTGGGGGCCTGCTATTATTTTTCTTTCTTTTTTTGGGGGGGGGACCAGGGATTGAATTTGGGACCTTGTGCTTGAGAGGCAGTCGGCAGAACCACTGAGCTAGATCCCTGGCCCCTACTATTATTTTTCTAAGGTGGATGCACCCATATAAATCCCCACAAACATTGAGAGTTCTTTGCTTCTCCTCACCAGTATTTGTTGTTGTTAGGTGCTTTAATGTGAATATATGGTAGTATATCATTGTTATCATTGTTTATTTTCTTCTCCCAATGATTTTTTAAAATTTTTGGTTTGTTTTGTTTTTGAGACAGGGTCTTCCTGTGTAGTTTAGGCTGACCTCATCAAACTCATCTTATCTCCCAGGCTAGCCTCAAACTCACGGTGATCTTCCTGCCTCAGCCTCCCAAGTGTGCTGATTTTTTGAGACAGGGTTTCAGCTCAGCCGGGCTTCAAACCTGCTGTG